TAGTGGGATAATGGGAAAGAAAATGGAAACAACTGTTTAGGGTTTAGGGTTTAGGGATAGAATACGGGTATATGGGGATTTTATTATGATATACCCAAAGCCACATTCTATCTACTTAAGGGAGACTGTAACCCTAAATCTATTCATGCACGCGTTTCGAACTTGAACCCTCCAAGCAACGGGAGGGCGCAGCTCTTTGTTTGGGATTCAGGGTTTCAAGGTTGAGGCTTTGCGGTTGTTGCAAGGGTTGGGGGTTTATTGCTGGAGTGATTCTGGGACTATGAAGGCAGGATATAATATGCGACTGCTGATTCTGTTGCTTATTTTGATGTCTCTCAAACATCCTAAGCCCTGAGCCCTAAACCTAAGACCGTTGATCCAGGTCAGTCGCATGTTCCGCTAAACGAAGTCTCTTGTACCCTAAACCCTAAATTTAACGAGGCCCTGAACTGACCACCTGGAATCCCAAAAAGTACAGAGAATAATGGCCCTTGGTGAAGCACATATATATCCTAAACCCCAACAGCATGTAAAAAAATGGCCTCTATGGCTGTTATTATGGGTTTAGGGCTATGATTTACACACTTTTGGGGTTTAGGTAAACCCAAGGTTATCTTGGCTCCTAAGAAGCATAAGAAGAATTGGGGGCTTGAGGGGAAGTATCTATGGAATTGTAATTTCAACTAATTCCTATCCGGCCCCTAAGCCCTAAAACCTGAACTGTAGTTAATTTCGTAGTTCAGGAGTGATATGACTACATGTTCGGGCTTCAGTTTTTCCTACTGCTTTGTTTCCGCTGGGATTATGGTTTATGGTTTCAAGGTTTAGACCTTCACCCCCACCCCCCCGCCTGAAGGTTTAGGTTTGGCGATTACGGCCTCTGCTTTAGAAGTAGTATCCTCCCTCTCACCTTTTGCAACACCTAAACTGGTGTCCTTGCTCAGATTTATACACCGCATCTTAAGTCTTCCGTATATAACACTATAGACCCTACCTAACAGCAAGTAAGTACCCCAAACCCTAAACCCCAAACCCTACCAATATACCATAGTATTTTCCATTTCATCCTTATATAACCCAACCCTACCTAGCAGCAAGTAAGTAATCTGCAGGGAAAGCTCACCGGTATGGCCCTGCGAGTGCCAACCATCGATGTGTCCGTGGTCGATCTCACCGTGGAGCTGGAGAAGGAAGCAAACAGAGGTTAAGGGTTTAAGGCTTCTGAAGCTAGAGGCCCTGAGCCCACTTCAGCGAGGATAATGTAGAAGTCTGAAAAGTTTCCATCATGACTGTCCAATGTTCGTTGTTTGTTATAGTATACGGTACCTCGCATGGACTTCAAGATTATGTAAGCGGCTGTCCAGGTCCCTACAGTATAGGGATGTATAGGGGTTCACACTTCAGGGTTTCGGGAATCAGGGTTTGGGTTGTTAGGGCTCAGGGTCTAAACCCTAAACCCTAAACCCTATACTAAACCCTAAACCCTAAATCCTAAACCCTAAACCCTAAACCTGTCACCCTACAGCCCTATAAACCCTAAAAACCCTAAGCAACTTGCAGATCCCTCCGCTGAGAGCCTTGCAGGTATAGGATCCCCTTCTGAGAGGTCTCCGACCAATGGGGAGCGCCTTTTTGAGGTTCCCCTTAAGACAAACCGGGTAGGCCTTTGGGTTGCTTCTATATTTAGGGTTTAGGGTTTAGGGTTTAGGGTTTGAGTTTAGTAGGGACCCATCCATACTCCTATTTTTCAAGGGTCTCTAAAGGCCAACCAAGCGAAGGATTATACTACACAGTGGGTCGATTTAGGGTCCCCTGTTTCTGGAAATATTCATATTTCTCGTGGCACAGAAGTGGCCCTTTAAGTCAACACATTCTGAACTTTTGGGCTGTCAGCCTTCGAATCCGCCGAAATACCTCAACTTTGCTTGTTACAAACCTTCAGGGTGAAGGGTTTAGGGTTTCACTTAATTGAAGCCTCAACCCCAAACTTTTAGAACCTACACACTGCACCCAATACTCGGCTAATCCCCTGCCCGAGATATGCAAGACCTCCCACACCCATGATGTTGTTTTGTTTATGTTTAGGGTCTAGGGTTTCGGGTAGCTTCCAGAAACATTGGGACCCCAACTTAGCAAAAACAATTATAGTCCCTATTATGAGGAACCTCAGAAAACAGCCAGCATCTTTGGGAACCCCCCTTGAATTATCATACACATTTGGGAATAGTCTTATTAGGGTAAGGGTTTTGCAATTCGGGGAGGGGAACAAGGTTTTTAGTTTGCTATTGTTTGGGTTTTCATGGGTTGTGGTTTAGGGAAATGCTAGCGATCTGCCCTAAACCCCGAATCCTAGGCCCCTAAACCCTCGAACCCTAAACCTCAAGCAAGTCTAGGGCATGACCAGGAGACTACTTACGAGGAGATCTGCGCCGAGATGAAGAGCCTAGTACCAATTTAGGGTTGAGGGCTTGGGCTTGCATGCGGGTGTTCTTCCGATTCCAAATGGGGGACCTTCTGAAATGCGCGGCCATCACTACTAACCATGTTATCCTTAGGACCCAGCCCTCAAAAGTGACACGTAGTCATGAGAACTCTAAACCCTGAATCCTTGTGTGAGCTTCTCTCAATTTAAGGGGTACCAAGGGGCCATTAAGAACGGACATAAGTGCCCCTTTGGTAGTTTAGAATAGTTCTTAATATATTCCTCAATAAGGACCTAAACCCTGAACCCCGAACTTTGTGGGAAATATTGACTGTAAGGCATGTGAGGGCTTTTGTTAATGTTTGTTCTTTTCTCGGAGTTGTGGGTTTGTGGGGAGTCTGGGGGGGACAACGCAGAAGCCATCCAACCCCAAACCAGCATGGAGTCCCACATAGCTCGCACAATTGAGGGATTGTGGAGCCTACTGATCTTAATAGGGTTCTGGGATACGTTATACAGTTATACATGAGTTATATGAATTCAGGTGTTTATGATTTTTTTCGTGAGTGTATATAGGAACAAATTTTGAGAGTATAACAAGCTTACTACGTATATGTCTACATATATGTGGGGTACAAGGAACGAGTATCCGCAATCATCTGTCTTGTTTATTACCAGTTTCCGGTATCATGTTTTTCATGCCCTTCAACTGAAGGAGACAGTCTGTGTAACCCCACACGAGGCCTTGCGAGTATCTGACCTCCGAAGCTCCGAAGCCCTAGGCCTACAATAATGCCTATCTACTCCCTAATAGGAATCCCGTAATCCCCTTCTGATCCACATATATATATAATTATATATATATATGAGCATATACATTCAAGGATTGTTGAACCGTAGTCTTCAGAGATTGAGATGGTAACCGCAGGTACGGAAATTCCAATGGAAAAGAACATGGAACAGACACGGGAACTTTTCCTAAGGCATATAGACATGGTTCTAAGAAATTGAAATTGAGGTGTATAGGGATAGACGGGGTTTGGGTTTCTTGCCTCTGGCTAGGAAGGAATGACGGATTGGTAGTCCTTATGCAGACCCCAATGCTATAGTAGCTTTCATCTTCTTTTGCGTTCCCTAAGCCCTAAACCCCAGACTAAACACCCTAAACCCTAAACCCTATAGTAAAATCCATGTACTTTCATTTATCCATCCAAGGAAGCGCTCCGAGGGAGACATGAAGGGCTACCTGGGCTACACGGACGAGGCTTTGGGGGCCCTGAACCCAAAACCCTTGACCCTAAACTCTAAACAAACCCTTAACCCTAAGCCTTAAACCCTAATTAAACCCTACGCCCTGAACCCTGGGGCAGTGTAAGGGTTAGCAGTTAGGGTGCCCTAAAACCCAGGGTTTAGGGTTTAGGGTTTAGGGTTTAGGGTTCGGGTTCATTGTTCGGGGTTGTTCCATTTTACTTACCTCGGGTCAGCAGGGAATGAAGGAGTGGAACAGAACATGGACACTACTAAAAGGGTTCAGGGTTTAGGGTATGGTATGGGTGGGGTTTAGGGTTTGGGAATTAGACCCTATGCCCCAAACCTGCAAACCCGTATAGTCCCCTAAGCCCTAGAACCCTAGACCCTATGCCCTAAACCCTGAAAAACCTCCTGTAGTCCCCTAAGCTTATAACCCTAGACCCTATGGCCTAAACTTGAAAAACCCCTATAGTCACCCTAAGCCGTAGTTAGGGCTCTGGGTTTAGGGCTATCAGAGGTTAGGGCGTCAGATAGAAAAAGTTTAGGTTTTTGAGGAATGGGAGGAGGAGCACAGGGAGGAGGAGCAGAGAAGAAAGGGTTTAGGGTTTATGGGGTTCATAGGGTTTAGGGTCTAGGGTTTAGAGTAGAAAGAAATCATTTTAGCCATGGCTGCCACCTCTGTGAGCTGAGCCCTGACCCTCCCTATTCGACCCTAGAACCAAGGCCCTAAACCCTAATCCCTAAATCCTAATCCCGAAACCCTAAACCCTCAACCCCTGCCCTGCCAGGCCCTCGTGTCCACGGACTTCGAGACCTGCCCCATCTCTTGCACTTTCGACTCCAAGGCTCCGGCAGAGAGGGTTAAGGGGTTTATGCGTTTGAGGAATTAGGGTGGTAAGGATGTTAGCGTTGAAGGGTTTAGGGATGTAGGGGGTATAGCCCCAATGCTTTAAAACAAAGGGGATGTAGTGTATAGGGGTTTAGGGATTAAATGTTTTGAGATTTAGGTTTTTTTTACAGCGCACTGCGTGCGTTCCATTCTCTCTGCCGCATTCCTATGTCTGCCGTTGCGGTCCAGAACGAATATTTAACCACTGTAGCTACCAACATGGGGAACTTCCTGTTGTCTTGGAGCGTACCCAAGGTTACGCGTTCCCTACCACCCTACCCTATAAGGATCAGGGTTTGGGGTCATGGGTTCCCGATTAACCCTCAAATTACACATTTAGGTTCCCCCTTAACGCAGGTTAGTTCGGGATGATCAGGGCACGTTCGGGCAACCCCTGGGGCTAGGTCCTAAACCCTAAACCCTAAAGATTCAGGCTTCGGGTTCGAGGATTCAAGAAATTGTGTCTGGATCAAGGCCCAAATACTAATTTCAAAGACTGGTTCCTTGTATACTTATGCCTACTTCGTCAAATTGAACTCAACATGATATATTTGACCCTAAACCTTAGACCCTACACCCTAAACCCTAAACCGAGATTCACCCTTTCAGCCTTACAAGAGTTCCTCCAATTCTGCTTGACGGTCGAAACTCCCAGAAAGAGCAAGTTCCGCACTGAACCCTAAACCCTTAAACCCTAAACCCTCAACCTGAAATAGGCCGGCATCATGCTCGACCCTACTTTCGTCAAGGTCGTCTGCTGGTATGATGCTTGCCCATGATTAGGTTCAACAGTCGCAAGTTTCTGGTTGAACGTTGCAGGATAATTCCTGTGAGAGTTAGGGGTGACAGTTTCCCTAAACCCTAGTCCTGAAATAGCCCTACCCCCATAAATCCTAATTCCGGAACCCTAACCTCTAAACCCTTATCCGATATCCTACAACCCTAAACATTATAGCTCTATAAACCTTCAAACCCTAAACCCTAAACCTATCTACTTAAGGGAAAGCTATAAACCCTAAAACTCTTGAGGAGGCAAGGGTGATCTTGTGAGGCGTGGAGTTTTGGGTCGTCTGGGTCTCTTTCTGCACCCGTGACGACATGCGCCCTTACAGATGCTACTGGATGGGGCTTAGGGTTTACGAAGTAGGGTTTAGGGTTAAGGAATTAGGGTTTGGGGTTTGGGGTTTAGGGTTCAGCACTTAGGGTCTAGGGGTCTAGGGGTTTAGGGAATAGGGTCTAGGGTATATAGGGTGGATCTAGCTTTCCAAAATGTGTGCCTTTTCAGGGGTTATCTGCTTCGTGCAAGTGAAGTACAACCCCAAGCACCAAATGGGCTATGGTCAAGTATCAGTGAGACACAGGCCGCGACTCATTAAAAGTTGGATAACATCTTTCGTATAACTGCATGGATCCTAAACCCTAGACCCTAAACCCTAAGCCCTACACCCGATATGACCCCTACTTACTTTGTTAATGGGCAGGGGAAGGACCCAAACTGCAGCTCACATGCAGCGCGAGCCGTAAAGCTTGAAGACCAAGCCCTCAGCAGGAAAATATTTAGGGTTTAAGGTCTAGGATTTAGGGTTTAGGGTTAGGGTTTAGGGTTTAAGTTTTGGATTTAGGGTAAT